CTCTCTCTCCCTCCCTCTCCCCCTCTCCCTCCCTCTCCCCCTCTCCCTCCCTCTCTCCCTCTCCCTCCCTCTCTCCCTCTCCCTCCCTCTCTCCCTCCCTCTCCCTCCCTCCCTCTCTCCTCCTCCCTCCCCTCTCCTCTCTCCCCCCTCTGTCCCCCTCCCTCCCTCTCCCTCTCTTTCTCCCTTCCTCTCTCTCTCGCTCTAACTCTCCCCCTCCCTCCCTCTCCCCCTCCCCCTCTCCCCCTCCCCCTCTCCTTCTCCTCTCCTCCTCCTCCTCCTCCTCCTCCTCCTCCTCCTCCTCCTCCTCCTCCTCCTCCTCCTCCTCCTCCTCCTCCTCCGTCTCTTTCTCCCTCCCTCCCTCTCTCTTGCTCCCTCTACGTCTCTTTCTCCCTGCCTCACTTTCTCATAGCCTCTCTCTTTCTCTCCGTCTCTTTCTCCCTCCCTCTCTGTCTCTGTCTCCCTCTCCCACACGACGAAAACCGCGCAGCCCCCCCCCCCCCCCCCCCGACCCCCGCACACCTGCCTAGGGTTTCTGGGTCGCGTTGAAGCCTTGCATATCGGTCCTTATGATAAGCCGTATCTCATTATCTCTCTGCTTGCGTTTATGTTGTGTGATGGTTACGGGTCGGGTAGTTGTTTGTTTGTTTGTTTGTTTGATTATGTGTTTGTTTGTTTGTTTGTTTGTTTGTTTGTTTGTTCAGTTATTTGGTTGGGTTGGTTTATTTATAAAGTTTTTTTTTTCTTTAATAATTCTTGTTTTGTTGATGTTGCCTTTGTGTTTGTTTCTACGTTATTATGATTATTATTTCTATTTTTTGGCATTACTATTGTTATGGTCGTTTTTATCATTATCATTATTAATTATGGTTAGATATGATATAATTAATATCTTTTATTTATTTATTTATTTTTTAGTTGTCATTACCTTTACCATAAATGCTTTCGTCATCAATATAACGATTACGGGCCCTTATCTGCCATTAACGCTGTCAATATTACAAATCACACCATCGATATTGATATTAATATTGATGTTGGTGACATTGCTATGTACATGCAATGCGGATGATGGCAGCGCTAATAATTTATGATGATGATGGCATGGCTGATAATTGATAGTGATGATGATGATAAATTAGAAACGGTCAGATGAGTTAGTAGGAAGCATGTTAATGACGTGCTAATACTCTATATAAATTTCTGTTTATGTCAGTGGTTTAAACTTCTCACGCGCAAGCACTGCTCTTGCATTGAAGTTTATAAAATGTTGCAACGTGGTTTTCCGGTACACTGTGCACTGTATTCCTTTCGCTTTGTGTTTGCATTTGCAGAGTGTTGTTGAGTGTAGGCCGTTTCAGTAGACACTTTTAGAGGTAAAGAGGGAGAGGGAGAGACAGAAAGAGAAAGAAAGAGAGATAGGGTGAGAGAAAAAAGAGAGAGAGAGAGGCAGAGAGAGATAGTGAGAAAGAGAGGGGAAGAGAAAGAGATAGTGAGAAAGAGAGATAAAAAGAAGGAAAGAAAGAGAGAGGGGGGGCTGGGGGTAGCTTGTTACAGACCACTTGTTACAGCGCATTTGGTAACATGGCTGCTCACCGTTACTGCGACCATTTCCCGTAGCAGCGACCACTTGCGTAACAGTCGTTATACAAGGCACAGCTATTATCTTACATAACCAATCCTCGCCGCTTCTGACGGTGGTGGTTTTGTTCTCTTCCCTCCCTCCCTTCTTCCCTCCCTCCCTCCCTCCCTCCCTCCCTCCCTCCCTCCCTCCTTCCCTCCCTCCCTCCCTCCCTCCCTCCCTCCCTCCCTCCCTCCCTCCTTCCCTCCTTCCCTCATTCCCTTCATTCTCCTTCATCTCCCCTCCCTCTCTTTTTTGTGAGTTCTCCAAGTCTCTTTGTGGCTCTATCGCTCCCTCCTCCCTCCCCCCTCCCCCTCTCCCTCTCCCTCTCCCTCTCCCTCTCCCACTCCCTCCCCCTCTCCCTCTCCCACTCCCTCTCCCTCTCCCTCTCCCTCTCCTCTCCCAATTCCTTCTCCTACTCCCCTTTCTACATAGCCCTCTTCTTTCCCTCTCCTCTCCCTATCCCTCTAAGCCCCCCTCCCCCCTTCCCCCTCTCCGTCTTCCTCTCTCCCCCCTCCCCCTTCCCCCTCTCCGTCCTCCCTCCCCCCCTCCTCTCTCCCCCTTCCCCCTCTCCGTCCTCCCCCCCCCTCCCCCTCTCCGTCTCATGTAACGGGTCTTGCATTATCATCGGCTTTTGTTGCAATTTTTTCTTGCTCTTCCATTGTTTTTGTTGCTTTTAACTCCTTAACGTATTTGTTTGTATTATCGTTATTTGTCTGTCGTAATCCATTTGATTATTCACAGCATTCCTCAAAAAAAAAGTTGATTTAGTTCTAAGGTTTATTTGATTGATTTTCATTGTTTTCCTTCGTCCTGCATTTGCCTCCCACGTTTAATCCTTCGCCGACCGGAAGCGCCGCGGGCATGAGGCTCGTTTCCTTGGCTGCGTCGAGATCGATGGCGTGGCTGCCCGCGGTCGCCCGGAGGAGGAGCCGCTCGCGAGGGTGCCAGGTGCCAGGCCGGGGTGCGCTGCGGCCCTGCTCGGGTCACGCCCCTTGCCGGAAGGATAGGGGAAATTAGCACCAAGGAAGGGGGGGCGGGGGGGAAGATAAGGGGGAAGGGGGTGCTTCTTGGGCTGTCGCCTTGTGTTTCGCTCTCTTTGCTTTTCTTTCTTTTTCTCACTTTTCTTTTTTTTCTCCTCTCTCTCCCTCCCTCCCTCCCTCCCTCCCTTTCTTTCTCCCTCCCTCCCTCCCTCCCTCCCTATCTATCTTTCTGCCTCCCTCCCTCCCTCCCTATCTTTCTCCCTCCCTCCCTCCCTCCCTATCTTTCTCCCTCCCTCCCTCCTTATCTCCCTCCTTATCTCTCTCCCTCCCTCGCCCTCTCCCTCTCCTGGCGAGAACCGTGGTTTGTCGTGAACCACGGTTCTCGCCACTCCCTCTCCCTCTCCCTCTCCCTCTCCCTCTCCCTCTCCTCTCCCTCTCCCTCTCCCTCTCCCTCTCCCTCTCCCTCTCCCTCTCCCTCTCCCTCTCCCTCTCCCTCTCCCTCTCCCTGTACAGGCATAGCAACAGACACTGGCGTAGCGAGCAGAATGTACCGGTAGATTAGAGGGTGGAGGGGGAGAGGAAGAAGGGAGAGGGGAAGGGAGAAGGGAGAGGGGAAGGGGAAGGGGAAGGGGATAGAGAAATGGAAATAAGGAAAGGCCAAGGAATATAAAGAAAGATATAAAAAAGAGAAAGAAATTTGGCAAGAAATAACGATTTGTGCTGTTGTCTTTCTTATTGATATTATCGGGTGCTGTATTTAGTAGTAATATTAATATTGATATTATTGTTATTATTATTGTTATTATTTATTCGTTTTTGTTATTGTTGTTGTTGTTTTTATTGCTGTTGTTGTCATTATTATTATGATTGATTATGATCATTATCATTATCATTTTCATTATCATTACTATTAATATTATTGTTTGCTTCATATTATAGTTGTTTTTTATTAAAATTACTATAATCATAATTATTACTTTTACTTTTTAAATAACAGCATTGGTCTTGCTATCACAGTTTTGTGTTACAAATACTACGAATACTATCCTTATCATTACTCCCCCCCCCCCCTCTGTCTCTCTCTCTCTCTCTCTCTCTCTCTCTCTCTCTCTCTCTCTCTCTCTCTCTCTCTCTCTCTCTCTCTCTCTCTCTCTCTCTCTCTCTCTCTCTCTCTCTCTCTCTCTCTCTCTCTCTCTCTCTCTCTCTCTCTCTCTCTCTCTCTCTCTCTCTTCTCTTCTCTCTCTTCTCTTCTCTCTCTTCTCTTCTCTCTCTCTTCTCTCTCTCTCTCTCTCTCTCTCTCTCTCTCTCTCTCTCTCTCTCTCTCTCTCTCTCTCTCTCTCTCTCTCTTCTCTCTCTCTTCTCTCTCTCTCTCTCTCTCTCTCTCTCTCTCTCTCTCTCTCTCTCTCTCTCTCTCTCTCTCTCTCTCTCTCTTTTGCTCTCTCTCTCTCTCTCTTTGCTCTCTCTCTCTCTCTCTCTCTCTCTCTCTCTCTCTCTCTCTCTCTCTCTCTCTCTCTCTCTCTCTCTCTCTCTTTTGCTCTCTCTCTCTCTCTCTTGCTCTCTCTCTCTATCTCTTGCTCTTGCTCTTGCTCTCGCGCTCTCTCTCTCTTTCTTTCTTGCTCTCTCTCTCTCTCTTTCTTGCTCTCTCTCTCTCTCTTTCTTGCTCTCTCTCTCTCTTTCTTGCTCTCTCTCTCTCTTTCTTGCTCTCTCTCTCTCTTTCTTGCTCTCTCTCTCTCTTTCTTGCTCTCTCTCTCTCTTTCTTGCTCTCTCTCTCTCTCTCTCTCTCTCTCTCTCTCTCTCTCCTCTCTCTCTCTCTCTCTCTCTCTCTCTCTTGCTCTCTCTCTCTTCTCTCCTTCTTGCTCTCTCTCTCTTCTCTCCTTCTTGCTCTCTCTCTCTCTCTCCTCTTGCTCTCTCTCTCTTCTCTCCTTCTTGCTCTCTCTCTCTTCTCTCCTCTCTTGCTCTCTCTCTCTCTCTCCTTCTTGCTCTCTCTCTCTCTCTCTCTCTCTCTCTCTCTCTCTCTCTCTCTCTCTCTCTCTCTCTCTCTCTCTCTCTCTCTCTCTCTTGCTCTCTCTCTCTCTCTCTTGCTCTCTCTCTCTCTCTCTGCTCTCTCTCTCTCTCTCTTGCTCTCTCTCTCTCTCTCTGCTCTCTCTCTCTCTCTCTTGCTCTCTCTCTCTCTCTCTTGCTCTCTCTCTCTCTCTCTTGCTCTCTCTCTTACTTTCGCTCACTTCCTGCCCTTGTTTACCCTCATTAACACCCTCCTTTCTCCTTCCTCGCCACCCCCCTTCCTCTCTCCCTCTGGTCCTCCTCCCCCCCCCCCCTCCTCTCGCTCTCCCCCATTCCCTGCCCGAAGATCCCAAGGCCTTCCCCCGGGTAGTGACCGAGCGTGTTTTCCTCCTTTTCAGTGCGGGGACTTTGTGAATGCCGGCGCCAAGGAGATGATGACGCCGTCCGACGTCATCGCTGCCGCCGACATCACCTTCTCCTGCGTGTCTGACCCTCAGGTGGCAAAAAATGTAAGGGAGATTTATTTTTATTGATATTGTTGTTATTGTTATTATTATTATTATTATTATTATTATTATTATTATTATTATTATTATTATTATTATTATTATTATTATTATTATTATTATTGTTATTGTTATTATTATTATTATTATTATTAGTAGTAGTAGTATTGTTATGGTTATTGTTATTGTTATTGTGATTATTATTATTGTTATCACTATTATTGTTATTACTATTATTATTATTATCATCAATGGAATATTGTAATCAGTGGTGTTTGTAGTATATCCTTCCCAGGACATTTAAAATCATAACAAATTGGTATACTTGATTTTGTCATTACATTACAGTAATTATTATTTTTTTCTGGTTATCATTATAGGTATATTTTCTTTGTGTAGTTTTATTGTTACTCTTAAGTGTAATGCTAAGTTTATTATTATGATTTTATTATTATTATTTTTTTGTCTTTTATTTGCCAATGCATTGTGACTTTTGATTTAATGCTCTCTTGTTAATGATTTATTTTCTCATTTGATGTTAATAGTGATTCCTTAGGGAAAACAAATAAGTATTATTGTGCTTTATTAGAACATTTGCTTCTTGTTAGCAAACTGATTTCCTTTTAACACTTGCAATCTTACATACTTATGTTGCACACCTGCAGATGGTATTCGGAAATTGTGGAGTGTTGCAAGAAATGTCTGCTGACAAAGGCTACGTGGAGATGACTGGCATTGATGCAGAAACCTCACAGGACATTGCAGAGGTGAGTGAGTTCTCTGAAAACAAAGAAGAGGCTCAACAGTACATTTGAATAGATGTTGCCATGAACGAAACTGATTATATTCTAACCCTAACTGACCCCATTTCCCCAGTCCCCTCTTCTTAACCGGTCCCCTCTTCTTAACCGGTCCCCTCTTCTTAACCGGTCCCCTCTTCTTAACCGGTCCCCTCTTCTTAACCGGTCCCCTCTGCTTCTTCCCAGGCCATAAGTGGGCGAGGAGGGCGTTACTTGGAGGCACAGGTTCAGGGCAGCAAAGTGCAGGCGGAGGAGGGCACCTTAGTCATCCTGGCAGCGGGCGACAGAACGCTCTTCGACGACTGCCAGAGCTGCTTCCAGGCCATGGGCAAAAATTCCTTCTACCTCGGTAAGACTGCGCCGGAGGAGGACGTTTGGGTTGAGGCCTTTACTTCAGTTTTATTTGTGCATTGTTGTTTTGTTTTTGTTTATTGGCAGGAGTTTGTAAAAAGTTACTGATGGACAGTGATGAAAATTTATAAGTCAGTTGCACAGGAAACGGTGACTTGATTAGGTTTTAGTAATACACACGCAGGGTTCTAGGAGGTAATTAGAGGCAGAATTGCCACTGTGATCCAGGAAATCTCTTTTGTAGATGTTTGTTTCCTGCATTGATAGAGTGAAATCGGAGGCAATTTATATCCAATATTGTGTTTATCTCCAAGAGGCTGAAATCTAGCCGAAACTCTGGCTTTTTTATTGTAGGGTGTTCCAGTTTTTAAATTTTCTGTTGTTTATAGTGCATTGTACTTGGAATTGTACAATGGCTGTGGTGGGTAGCACTCCATAATGACAAACCCAGCACCATAGGCACATAGGCACATCAGAGGGAACTGGTCTTTTTCCGATAGGAATGGTGTCATTTGTTTGGAGTTGCTGTTAAATACAGATACTTTTGTTTATGAAATACAGTGACAAGCTATTAGGTGGCAAATGCTGTGCTTGAAGTACTTGAAAGAGCCTGGCTTAGACAGAGAAACTACCAGAGTTTAAGAGCCTAAATTAGCCTATGAAGTATTACTGATTTTAACCATACCATTATTTCCCAGAACATAAGGGGACATACAACTTGAGAGGTGGATATTACTAAAGCCATCTGTTTGGTTGCATCTGGCCTACAGCAGCCTCATTATTGCCTAGAAGTATTTTGATGCAGTTAGTTTTTATTCTTCCTGCTGTGAATCTATGGGTCTGGGGGAAAATAATTACTTGTTAGAATTTTGTCTAAAATAAAACTTAGATTGAAAATGCCTAAAATATACAGAATATACAAGTAACCAAAGTTTTCTGACCCTCTCTAAATTCACCACAATGTGTTCCAAGGTATTTACATCTCAGGGTCCTAAATGAACTTTTGCTTTTTGCAGGTGAGGTGGGCAATGCCAGCAAGATGAATTTGGTGCTCCAGGTGATGGCAGGCGTCACGCTAGCTGGGCTGGCCGAGGGAATGGCCCTGGCGGACAGGGCCGGGCTGCAGCAGAAGGATGTGATGGAGATCATGGAGCTCACCTCACTTGCATGTCCACTCATGATCGAGAAGGGGAAAGGTGAGTGCTCTGGTGCCAGGCTGTTTTGCGGGAAGTTGAGATCCTTGAGGAATTTCTATTAATGTTCCTAAGTATGAGACAATATACTGGTCTTGATGGAGAGCTTGTGGTTCGTAGATTTCCCAGGAGAGTCTGTGTCGATGAAAGATACATAATTAGTATAACAACATAACCTGAATGACATATTTTCTTAAGAATATTTCATGACATTATGTTTGCATATATTATATGAAATGCCTTTTATTAATGGGCTAAAAAGGCATTTTTTATCCCTTCACAGTTTGTTTTCAGGTGTGTGATTCCCCCTATTGAGTTATTGCACATATGTGGAATCATAAGCAATTTAGTGTAAAGTGTTTTTATGAAGTCCTCATTTTGTTCAAGCACACAGCTCAACTAGTTTCAGCCTCTCTCTTTCTTAACCTGGGTCTGTCATTTTTCAAGGCCTATAACTCCCTTTGATATGCTGTATCGAGATGGTAACTGACTCTTTGTGTTGACCTCCCTATTATCTGTCAAGGTAGTCAACAACTCTGCAATAACAGTAACACGAATAGGATCCTGAGCATGGAATAGTGTCCTTTAGCTGGCATTCTTCCAGCCATGGCTCATGGATGTTACATTCCACACTTATTTACTGCTGGAAGTAATGCCCACTTAGTCTAATCTTCCTTCCTACACTTGTATCCAGTCATTTCCTTCACCTCAGCCTTCAGTCAGATTTTTTCATAATGGCACATTTACATCACCTCAGCCCCTAACCTAATATTTGCATGACTGATTATTCCTGTTGCCCAGCCCTCAGCCACATTTTTGCATGATGTGACGTGACATTACCAGTCTGATGGGTTAATCCTTGAGACCTTTGGAGTCTAGCCTGCTGTAATAGTTGCTGTCGAGTATGCAGAACCTAGATCTAGGCAACCCTCCCCCTACCCCAAAAAAAAAAAAAAAGCTTGGATGTCAGAGAGCCTGGTTATTCTAGCATCTGAATTTTTTTTTTTTTTTACCACTCATTAGGGCTTAATTTTTAACTTGCTCCCTTTATCTTCTTGTACTTGTTTTGTTTTCCTCTTTGTCTCAGTCTCTAAAAACCCTTCTCTCTTTCTCTTCTTTTGATAATGTTATTCCATGTTTGCTCTCCCCCTGCAGCCATCATCGAAGGGGGCTTCCCGACACACCTGCCGCTGCAGCACATGCAGAAGGACCTCCGCCTGGGCATGCTGATGGGCGACACCTTGGAGCTGCCGCTGCCCCTCACGGCCGCCACCAACGAGGTCTTCAAGCATGCCAAGCGGCTGGGCTACGGCGAGCACGACGTCTCCAGCGTCTACATACGCACGCGATTCTAACCCATATTGGCCCCCGTGTGCTCACTCTTTTTTTTTCTTTTTTTTTTTTTTCTTTTTAAATGTATTTTTTTCTTTTTTTATATCTTTTTTTTCTGTTTTTTTGTTCGTAGAAGGCGTCTTTGTGTCTTGAGGAAAGGAAGGAAGGGAGGAAGGAAGCAGGCTGAAGTAGGCAGGCATCAGTAAAAATTTGTGTGCACTAAAAACCTCCCTTCTCGCTTTCTCTCTCTCTGTCTCTGTCTCTCGTTAAGGGAGAGGTTATATTGTAGTATTTGTTGTAATTAAGGTTGTTTTTTAGCTTGTATAAAGTATAAGAATGAGGAGAAAAAAAAAAATGGATAAAGAAAAGAAAGAAGAAATTTTATCAAAACACCTTTTCATTTTGATGCATTTATGTACTGAGATTTATACAAGAAAACCTTTTAATTTTTTTTTTCTTTCCCTTTTTAGTTTTTCATATTTCGTACGTGTATTTTTAATTATTTATTTTTTTACCGAGAGCACATTTTGTGTGTCTTTTCTGCTTAAAGGAAGGAATAATGTGTAAAAGCAGTACTCAGAATTGGATAAGTATTTGCGAGGTTTTCAGTGCAGACTTTTGTTGTTGTTTATTGATGCTTGGGCTTTCGAGGATGAAGTTTGTGTCATTTCTTTGCTTTTGTTTCTATTATTATTGTTATTATCATTATCATTTTTATGATTTTTACTATTTTTGCTATTATTATTATTATTATTATTATTATTATTATTATTATTATTATTATTATTATTATTATTATTATTATTATGATTATTATTATTATTATTATTATTATTATTATTATTATTATTATTATTATTATTATTATTATTATTATTATTATTATTATAATACCATTACTATGATGGTTATTATTCTGTTTTTTTTATTAGTGATATTATTAATGTTGATATTGTTATTTTCACCAGAATACTGAGAGCCTCAAGGAGCCATTTTCTAGTGACTCGAAGCTGTTGAATGCTTAGTCGTTGGTATCCAAGATAACTATAAATAGTAAAAGAACGTTATGAAAACATTTAGATAAAAAAAATTATCAAAAAAAAAAAAAAAAAAAAAAAAAAATCACTCCACAAAAATATATAGAAAAAAGTTTTAAAAAATCAATAAAAGTAAAAAATACCTTTATATATATTTAGAAAAAAAAAAGAAAAGAGATTTCGTAAAAGCAAACACACGTGGTTAAATGTCCTCTGTATGACAGACAGATCTCGAGTTCACGCCGACCGAAGGGAGGGGGGGAGGGAGGGGGGGCGGGGAGATTAGCGTTAAATGGAGAAGTTTTAGGGAATCTAAGGTCCTGCTGTCTAGGGGGTGGGTAGGGGGTGGGGCTATGGGCATTCCTTTCGTGCTTTTTTATTTTTATTTTTATTTTTTATTTTATTATTCTCCATTCTTTCCTTCTTTAATTTCCATGGGATGAGAGTGAGTGTCCTTTTGCAATGGATTAGATGTAAGTCGGAAGATGCTGAGGAGGAGGAGGAGGAGGTTCAAAAGTCGAAAGGAAAATACTGAAACATTTGGCTAAGTTTAAGGTTGAAAGTGAAGAGTTGATTATATTATACAATTACATATAGAAAGATATTTTCACACTTCGTGCTTTGTTATACAAGTTCTGCATGTGCAAATGATGAAAAAGCATAAAAAAAAAAAAAAAAAAAAAATCAATTTATTAGCAGTAAGACTGACGCGTTTCCAAAGCAGATTAAGACAACGATAGGCCATTTAGGTAAGCATAGGAGAGGAGGGTGTGGGGGGGGGGAGGGCGTATCTCATGCCTTGTTTATATCATTGTGGTGCAATTCAGTGTTTTAGGTCTCTTTATTTTTCCTTTTTATATCTCTTTCCTATTTTCTCCCCTTGATTCCCCCCTCCCCCCCCTTTTTTTATATTATTAGTGTTACGACGATTTTTATTAAGTTGGTCAATGTGTTTCAAGGTGAAAGTCCTTCCCCACCCCAAGGAAATCTAGATTTTATTCCTGATAACAGTTAAGTCGCACTTCTCTGTGAATGGGCATTGGGCTCCATGTTGCAGTTGTTGCAGTTTGATGGTTTTCATTATTACTACATTTATGATACAATGTTAAGCTATCTTTTTTTTTTTTTCCACAAACATTGGTGAGGACGATGCTGGGATTCATATATTCATTTCCTCATAATGATCTTTTTTCTGTGACGAGAAAACTGTAACTTTTATAGTATACCTGTTAATGTCTGTGTAGAAGTGGAAACCGTGCACAGAAGAACGATTCATATCAAGTGACATGATAGCCCCTTTGTTTAGTTAAGTGTAACATTGTTTTTTTTTTTTTTTTTTTTATTTATGCATGTGGATGTATGGCGTGTATGTGTCTGTACGTACACACAACGCACATACATACATACATATGCAAACCCATACAAATGCATATACATTTTTTATATATTCCAAGCACTAATGTGGCCTTCTGAAGATGTATCTATGTAGACTGTTCATGAAGCAAAGACCTCGTTGGTGTCGGAGGAATAGACTGGTCGAGGTGGAGGGAGTCGAGGCTCAGTTACAAACATGTCACAATTTTTGAGTGTTCTGCTCCTCTTTGGTCTCGTGTATGATGATGATGACAAGGGATTCATGTTTGATGTTTTTTATCATTATTATTATTATTATCATTATTATTATTATTATTATTATTGTTATGATTATTATTATTATTATTATTATTATTATTATTATTATTATTGTTATTATTATTATTATGATGATGATGATTATTATTATTGTGATTTTTTCCTCCTCTTCTTTTCCTGTACCTCATGTCTTTGTTTGGATTTGTGTTATTTCTGTCTTTTTCTCTCCCTCCTTTCAATCTCTGTCCCTCCCTCCCCTTTTCCCTCCTCCTCTCCCCTTTCTCTCTTTCCATTTCTGACGATTTTTTAAACAAGCATATTTTACAATGAACTGAACAATAAAAACTATATATCTTTATATACTTGACATTATTTGTTACTTTTTCATAAAACACGTACTATTGTAGAAAAGGGAAAAAAGAAGGCATTCAGAAACCTACTGCAAATTGACCCAGACTCAGTACACTGATCTACGACAGGCAGATACATTTCAACTTACCGTTTTTATGGTACATGAAAACAGACGGATGCAGGAAAAAAGACGTTAAGCCTCTGGACAAATTATAAAGTATATGGCCCATATGCTGGGTAGAGCAGTACAGTTTACCTCTCCATGGCGTGGTGTGAGGGAGTGCGCAATCAGGGAGAAGGAGAACGGAGTGGCATTGGTACAAATTTCATATTTTGTTTCCCCTTCTTGTCTTGAGAGAGAGGGGTGGGTGTTTCCTCGTCTGCTTATTTCTCCAGTCTAGAATGAAAGCATACCACTAGGAAGTGTTGAAAGCTGGAATTTTTTTTTTTTTTTTTTTTTTTTTATAAGATAAGGAAATTGAATTATATACATGTATGAAAATGATTATAAATCTGTATTGCTCTTATTATTATTTTTTTAAAATCTGTGCTTTATAGCTGTTCAGAATACTGGGTTGCTAACCAGTGTCTGCAGGCGAGTGTTCTTTTTAAGATGTAAATTGAAAGATTATATAGGAATGCATTTGCTCAAAAGTTTTTTTTATTATTATTATTAACATTAATATTATCATCATTATTAACGTATTAAATACTTACCTTACTTAGGAATTATCATCCTAGTTATAACTTTTTTTTTTTTTTTTTTTTTTTCCACAAACATTGGTGAGGACGATGCTGGGATTCATATATTCATTTCCTCATAATGATCTTTTTTCTGTGACGAGAAAACTGTAACTTTTATAGTATACCTGTTAATGTCTGTGTAGAAGTGGAAACCGTGCACAGAAGAAAGATTCATATCAAGTGACATGAAAGCCCCTTTGTTTAGTTAAGTGTAACATTGTTTTCTTTCTTTTTTTTTTATTTATGCATGTGGATGTATGGCGTGTATGTGTCTGTACGTACACACAACGCACATACATACATACATATGCAAACCCATACAAATGCATATACATTTTTTATATATTCCAAGCACTAATGTGGCCTTCTGAAGATGTATCTATGTAGACTGTTCATGAAGCAAAGACCTCGTTGGTGTCGGAGGAATAGACTGGTCGAGGTGGAGGGAGTCGAGGCTCAGTTACAAACATGTCACAATTTTTGAGTGTTCTGCTCCTCTTTGGTCTCGTGTATGATGATGATGACAAGGGATTCATGTTTGATGTTTTTTATCATTATTATTATTATTATCATTATTATTATTATTATTATTATTATTATTATTGTTATGATTATTATTATTATTATTATTATGATTATTATTGTTATTATTATTATTATGATGATGATTATTAGTATTGTGATTTTTTTCTCCTCTTCTTTTCCTGTACCTCATGTCTTTGTTTGGATTTGTGTTATTTCTGTCTTTTTCTTTCCCTCCTTTCAATCTCTGTCCCTCCCTCCCTTTTTCCCTCCTCCTCTCCCCTTTCTCTCTTTCCATTTCTGACGATTTTTTAAACAAGCATATTTTACAATGAACTGAACAATAAAAACTATATATCTTTATATACTTGACATTATTTGTTACTTTTTCATAAAACACGTACTATTGTAGAAAATGGAGAAAAGAAGGCATTCAGAAACCTACTGCAAATTGACCCAGACTCAATACACTGATCTACGACAGGCAGATACATTTCAACTTACCGTTTTTATGGTACACGAAAACAGACGGATGCAGGAAAAAAGACGTTAAGCCTCTGGACAAATTATAAAGTATATGGCCCATATGCTGGGTAGAGCAGTACAGTTTACCTCTCCATGGCGTGGTGTGAGGGAGTGCGCAATCAGGGAGAAGGAGAACGGAGTGGCATTGGTACAAATTTCATATTTTGTTTCCCCTTCTTGTCTTGAGAGAGAGGGGTGGGTGTTTCCTCGTCTGCTTATTTCTCCAGTCTAGAACGAAAGCATACCACTAGGAAGTGTCGAAAGCTGGATTTTTTTTTTTTTTTTTTTTTTTTATAAGATAAGGAAATAGAATTATATACATGTATAAAAATGATTATAAATCTGTATTGCTCTTATTATTTTTTTTTAATCTGTGCTTTATAGCTGTTCAGAATACTGGGTTGCTAACCAGTGTCTGCAGGCGAGTGTTCTTTTTAAGATGTAAATTGAAAGTTTATATAGGAATGCATTTGCTCAAAAGTTTTTTTTATTATTATTATTAACATTAATATTATCATCATTATTAACGTATTAAATACTTACCTTACTTAGGAATTATCATCCTAGTTATAACGTTTTTTTTTTCTTTTTTTGTCATTTCTTTCTTTTGTTTTTGTCTTATGTTAGGTTTTTAAGTATTAAGTTTTATTTGTCAATGTTCCTTTTATCAGTTAAGTGGCTTCAGTCTTTCCTCTTTCTGAATCTGTGACGATGTACAGGTATTTCACAATCATTTCCAGCTGCAATGACTGTTTGTGCAATACCTCATCCAGTAACTTGTAAGAATCATTCAGAATTGCAGAGTGGCGGGCTTTTTCTAAGAGAGAGTGCATTCCTTCCTTGTCTGCTCTTTTGGTCGTGTCCTTTTTTTTTTTTTTTTTTTTTTTTCTCTTCCCTCTTTTTCCTCATGTGTACCTCTCTCCTCATCTTCTGGGGCTCTCGTTGACTCATCCTCTCTTCCCTTGTTCTCTGTTCTCTCCCCTCATTCTTTACTCTTTCAGGGTCTATTCTCCCAAAACCATTCTCTTCCCTCACTTGCTTTATTTCTTGATGAAATGGCTTCATAATATATTCTTGATATAAAAAAAGAGTATGAATAAGAAAAATGAATATTCAGTGTTTAAGAAGAAGTAGCTGATATGCCCTGTCTCTGTCAGCATATTTCACGTTTTCTGTTTCAAAAGCAGGCAATTTAGTGCTTGCCAAAGCCCCATAGTCTGACGACACAGTGCATTTTCTATCTACAGAGTCAGATGGCAGAGCACTTTGTAAGTTTACTTAGAAGAAAACTGAATTAACTCCTTCTTTCCTTCCTCGACAACACCCTTGCCCACCAACCCACCTACCCCACCCCACCCCACCCCGCCCCACTCCGCTCCACTCTACAAAAATGACGTCCGCAGCG